AACGTGAACAATAGGATGGCTGAATACAGGGGTCGATCCAACTATGGGTCGACTTTCTTCGAGAAAAACAACAAATTCAATGACATTAAGCCTGTCGTGAAGAATGAGATCAAGAATGAGAGCAAACCGTTTGGCAATAATTATGAGCACAGAGGCAGAGGTGGCAGAAGCAGAGGCGGCCACCACTACGGGGGCCCTAATCGGCCGCCCCATCACTTCGCTAATTACTCGACACCACCCGTGGCTAATAATGTACACAACGGCGCCGATTGCGGACAAAACCTCATGACTGACGGCGTGGCGAATCAGATGCCGGCGTTTGGCAGCAGATACTCATACGACGGCCGTCCCTCTCATCCAAATGACTTGAATTATTGCGATTCTTATCGATATTACTCCAAATCCAATGGCAATTCTTAGCCCTAAACTACATATCAATATTGGTGTCAAGCCATAAGTGACATCAGGAATAAGATTACATGCTTTTTAAGGTACGACCAATTTATCGATGAATAATGTTTGCATTTATTAACTAAACTGTTGGGCACTATAAACACAGAAACACTCGACTCGTTTAGTCCATAAACCCGTCGAGAGACTGTATTTAGTGCTAAATTAATGAATGGTTTTTAAAATCTGGTCCAAACAAATGCAATTGTTTAGATCTGGAACCGAACCATCACATGATATCTACGATAAATGCTATGATTTTTGTTAAATTATTTTAATTAAAACAATAGTTAACACTAAGAGATGTTTTTAGGATGTTTTTCTAATCAGCGGTTTATAGCCCTAAGCTTACCATTTAAGACATTTTTTTTGCTTGTTTTTAGAAATCATTTGATTTTTATTATCGATTAACAGATTCTTGTTTTATTGAATTTATTTAAGAATTTATTTGTTTTGAATATTCTTAGTTTTGTTTGCGGTTTCATTTGATTAGTATTTATTTGATTATTTAGTTTAGTAGTAAATATAGTAAACGCTATGATAGTTAATGCATTGATATTTGAACTCAAAATTGTTTCAACTTTTGTGCAAATATTTAGTAAACTTTTTAAAATCAATTTTTATAGTTATAGGAAACCGGGAAAAAGAATTCTGACATTAAATGACAAATAAAATAAAAAACTATATATGCATTTAAATATTTAAATGATTTATCAAATAATGATAAAACTAAAGCTTGTTTTTGTTTATATTTGCAGATTTGGTGACCTGTCTTTCAATTGAGTGCTAAATGACTCCACAAATAAAACATTCAATTCCTGTTCCCTTCCGATTAAATCATAAAAACATTTTTGCTATTTATTTGTACATATCATACACTTGTAAGTAAACACAAAATACATAACTGTTATTCATTTCATTGATCAAACACATAACTGTATTATAAACGTTAGCCCTAAAAGTGTTACAAACTTGTCAAAAGACAATGCGTTTTATAATTAATAATTTTTTTTAACTGCAAATATTGTAATGATATTGTAATTCATATGATACAACTAATGAACGCTTAAACGCGATATAACAGAACATTTAGGCATAAAATGTGTGTAAAGTAGAGTTTTGTATAAATTGTTTTCCAGTTTTTTTTCTAATAAATGATTAGTTGAATGCAATATGTATTGTATGTATCGTACAATTTGTATGTAATGTTAAGTTATGGGCATTTCGTTGAGCGAAAAGCGCCGAAAACACGACAGGAGTGTAACAGAAAAGTGAGGAACAGAGAGAGGGAACGGGCGATAGTATACACAACACACCAGCGCACAGAACACCTGTATGTTTATTATCAAGTTTTATAACCTGTAGGGTTAGTGTTAGTGGGTTTGGCTTTTTTCGTGATGTATATCCACGAGATTTTTGCCTCAATTATTAGACAAATAGTGTTACTCTGTGTGCAACACAAGTCTGTTGTGAGTTAGGGCTCAGAGAAGTGATTGCACTCAAGAACTCACATAACTTGTGCTCCTCTTCTCGCTAACCATTACTCTCTGTGTGTTATGTTATGTTCAGTGCTTTTCTCCATACCATAGACTGCTATCACTATAAACATCATTAACTCAATAACCATATAATACAACGAAACGGAAAGTCCTTTCGCGCAAAGTTTGCCAAACAATGAGTCCATCGCTGAAACACTCGGATCTTAAGACGAAAAGCGTTCGCTTGACTCAGAACTCAATCGTTATATCGTTTCGCAAATGCGATAACTATTACATCGATAATAGTCCGCAAAATGAGTTCCCTTTCAAACAGTTAGAGGACAGCCCTAAGAGCGACAGCCAATGGCCGGCCAATGGAGAGCACCCGTTGCCGGCGCCGGCCCTCAGCTACCACTCGCAGGGCTACTACTCCGTGGACTCGGCGTCGGCCGTTGCGCCGGCCGTGCGCTGTACGTGCCATCAGTTTGACGGCTGGTCTCTGTTCAACGAGTTCCTGACGGAGAACTCGCTGAGTGTGTGGAACCCATATCTGATCCAATGCTTAAGTCAACTCCAGTTCTTGGGCTTCCTTCAGCCGTCGAGTCTACTGATCGGCGGAACAGACTTTTGTCTGGAAGTGATTCGCTCGCAGTGGTCGAGACGAGTGCTCAGAGCGCCCAAAGGCTTTCGCATTGACTTCATCGGTAAGTCATCCAAACTTATGTTAGACTAACCGCAGGAACAGTGTGTCTGATAGGAGAGGCTATCGTTACATAACTTTAAGCCATGTTTTGTTTTCGGGTGTCTCTCTGTTTGGCTGCGAAAAGCCATTGAATGCGTGAAAACATGCCATTAAATAGCGATGACTTTAGGAGATGGCTGTGAGATGTGTAGTCGACTTCACCTGTTGTTCCTCTCGCATGACTCCACTCCACCACCAAAACGATAATTATTGCCAAAGAAAATACTTAAATACAATACAATACCAGTCCTCAAACCGTATACCTGAGCGCTGGTATGAATAATTCAATTCAAGGACCTTTTTTGTGGCCCTTTTTATCGTTAGTCTTATTCTTATTCCTCTTATTTTCCCAGTTTTTACATATGCTTTGAAAATAGTGTTTAAAAAACTTTGAAAAAACTTTTTTTCTTGCTTCTCTTCCCAATGAGTTATGTTTTCCTTTAACTATATTTATGTTTTTAATTGCAAAACAAAAATACATCGTTTTGTTGTGATTGTGTTTCGGAGGCATCACTTGAATTCGGCCTCAATTTTGTTGATTATAACAAATACTAAGAACCGTTTCGATGGCTAATCAAATATATGGCACTTCACGTCCCGAGCCCTCAATACCTGCGCGAAACCTATTTTACTTTCGGTATTACACTCATCACATGATTAGCAAATCAGACTCTGTTTTTATTTCTTCAGATTTGTTTCACGCAATGATTTGGGAGTTATTATCACTAAAATGAATAGTATTTTACAATTGTTTAGATTTAGATACCAATCGAAATGAGTTTATTGTTAAGAATAGGAAAGATTTTCATCATCGAAACCATAGTTATATTCAGTGAATAGCTATTACTTATAAGTTTTATAACTTTTAATAATGAATAGAAGTCTCTCTCTCTCTCTCTCTCTCTCTCTCTCTCTCCACAATGACCTCCAATTTGAATGGTTTTCCAAACATTTTACGTGTAATTCATCCATAAAAACACAACTTAATAGCCTTTTGTGGAATTCATTTTCTCGGATAAGTGTCTAATTGTGTTAATTTTTTATTATAACTTTGCAGTCAGTTATAAAACAATGAATTACTCTTTCCTATAATTAAAATCTCGTCGTTTCCTTATTCTCGCATTGCATTTGACTTTTTAAAACTCCAAATATAATGTTTTTGTTAAAAGCAATGAATATTTTTACTGTAGGTTTCCCGAAAAAAAGGCTTTTGTATATATAATTGAATGCAAACAAAATTGCTTTCAAAACACAGCCTATTATTATCACTTGAAAGCTATTCCGTTGAAAATGAGCCGAAAATTCATTTTAATAAATACTTTATTATGTATTAAAATAATAAATAAATAAAAAGGAAATTTTTTTAGTAAAAGTAAACAGATTTAGAAGTTTTTCTAATCTGAACAATGAGTTGCAAATCAGATAAACAATATTATTATGCATTCGTTTGATTCAATCACATGCCGTCACATATCATTCAAATTCAATAATAACAGTAATAATAAAACTAATTTCTAATGTAAATAACACAAAAGCCCTATTGACTTATGCTATGACCAAATATGAGATCTATATTACATAATCACATAATTATGTTTCAATTCAAATTCAATTTCCAAATGCAAAAAGTAGTTTTTCACATTTAATTTATTCCCTTAAAAAGTGCTATGAATTCATGGAAAATGTTGAATAATAGTTATTAAGGTATTAGACACTCATTAGTCGATGAAGTGGTGAAAAAAATTGTTGTTTTATTTTTATTTTATATATGAGAAACTTTTACGCGAAAAAAACTGTTTGCAAACATACTTTTATAATTAAAATTTTATAGTTTAGTGGAGAGAAAACGCTTTTTTGCGATAAACAGGAACATTTTGCGAATACATTTTCGTTTTTGATTTTATGCTTTTCATGTGTTTAATGAAATTATTAGTTATAATTACGAAGCGATTTATATATTAGTTTCGAGAGCAACAAAAATATAATAAACATTAGGGGGAATATAATAACATAATAATTAATATGGAAAATAAATAAATAAATAAAATAATTATGATTACGAATAAATGGTTTGTGACATACAATGCAATTCAAGAGGTTTTGTGAAATACAGTGCAATCCTAGATGTGTTTTATTTGTATTTCTTGAACTGCATTTAAATGAAATCTGCATTTAGTGTTGCATTTATGTAAATGTTTGGCAATTGTTATACAAATAGATATCGAGAGCGTCATTGAACTTACGAAATGAATGCAAGAAATGATTATTTTGATGACCGCTTTAGTCATGTCTCTCTCGTATTTGATTTATATTTGAAAATCAAAAACTTTATTTTGGAAAAATGCTTTTTTAAAGTGATAAAAATTATAAGTGTTTGCCGTAAAAAACAGGATTTTGTGCTATTTTTCCGTTTCAGTGCAATGAGAAAAAGCAAATCATAACAAAACGATTGCAAGAATTTGATTGAAGTGAAAACAATTGATAGCGAAAAACATTGAAAAATTAATTAATAATATAGAAAATCATTGAGCATGCACAACAGTTTGAATAATATATAATATATAATATATAATATATAATATATAATATATATTATATTATATTATATATTTTTATTGAGTTTTCAAAAAATAGTAACAAAAAGAGTTAAGAAAACTAATGATTACCGAATGAATTGGAATTTCGGTTCAAATTGTCTGTTATTTAACAACTTTTTATCTTAAGATCTGGAGTGATGTGGGAGAGTCTGAATGAATATTTCATACCATTTATACCCGGGTTTACAAACATTATATAATACACTATCATATACTGTACGCCGTTTTTATGGAAATCAAGCGCTAATAATGAGGTGAAACTTAATGGCATACAAACTAAGCGCAAACATTTTATAAATAATACTTTGATTTAGAAAAAACTTTAGTTTTTTGAAAAACTAAAGCTTTATTTATGTTTTATTGAGCTTTTATTTCTTTACATGTGACCCCTTATACCGGTTCCTAAATAGATATTGAATTAATCGCACATTTATTTCGCAAAACACACTATTATTTTAAACACTGGAAGAGAGAGAGAGAGAGAGAGAGAGAGACTGTTTTTAAAGGAAAATTAAAAATTCGGTTTACATTACATGCTATTGAATGACACCATTCGCTAGTAATCTCTAGAAAACGATTGTCTTAATTACATACAACTCTCATATGATTTAATTAAATCAAAACAATAATCGTATGATTTTTTGAGAATTGTTTTATTCGCTTGTTTAAAGAATTTAAAAGTTTAGATAAATGTGTGTTAATAAAAAGTGATTACATTTTTCATACACATTAAATATTGTGAAATAGCATAAAATCAATTTTGCAAAGCATTTCAGTTTTAATGTTTGTGTGAAATTGAATGCGAATAACAATTGCTTATGAATTGATAACAAATGAGGAAATATTGCACAGAATTATGAATTAATATATTCGCAGTCATTCAGAGTTACCCAATAATAGACACCAATTATAGTCTTCATAATAGATTTCAATATTTAGACGTCAACTGTATTTCAACAAAAAATCTTTTCATTTCTTTTATCA